GGCTGGAGGCTGGAGGCAGGAGGAGGGAGACTTTCAATCCCCATCCCAATGCCTTCTATTTTTTAAGTTTTCCAGCTGTAAAGTTACAAGGTATATTGCAGATGACCGTGCATGTAAAGAAATTAAGTTGTCTCCAGCACTTGCTCAAAGGATAGACAAGGAAGGGAAACTGACTCAAAACTGCCAGATAGTAACTGATTTACAGGGTGCTGGGGAGGGCCCACCAGTGCCAAATGACTGCAGAAGACGCTCTTGGAGCCAGACAAAATTTATGGGACCTCTATGCAAAACAATCACTCTGATGGTCGTTTTTGTAAAAGGAGCACATTTGAGCCTAATCAATATGGAAGACTCTAAAGAACATATCTCACCATCTCTAACCACTGGTAACACGGAGCTATTTAGTTGTTGGTAAGCAAGATCTTCTTCTAGAAGTTTATCATATACCCATGCCAATCATCTCGTCTACCCTCCTAAAAGTTTTCATGATGACACCAGAGTCAAGAGGACACAATGCATGCTCATCCTACGCTATTTCAAGGCACTCTTCTTGCTTTAAGCAATTTCAGCCAATGGTTTAAATCAAAACTTTGTCTTGTCTTCAAGCATCTTAAGGGTCTATGGAAGATGTTGCAGGGTTCTCATTTCCACTGCAATATGATAAATACTGCTACCACTATAGGCACCATTCTCAGCTGCCTCAAATGCACTGGCCTTGCCTGTCCAAACTGCCTTGGAACTTGTCATTCCAAACTTCTTCCTCACAGAAAACATGATCAATGGCAAGAAAGCTTGTACTGGCCTGCATCAAGAGTCAGCCTCTGTGCATTCAGAGCGCAAGTAGCTGCCATTTTGTAGCTTGACCTGTTTGAGCAAAAGCTGAAGATTGTACCCTGAAACTTCAGTGCTGTTGACACCTGAGCCACTTTGATGGAAGACAGCTTAGCTAGACTGCTCTTGCTGCAGTCACCCCTGCAACTCTGCCATTGTGCAAGCGTACCCAAAGGCTGCTGAGGCCTTGCACATTCTAAAATTCCTTAAAACTCATTTTGACAGGAAAATAGCTCCTGTCCAGAGGGTTCTGGTTGCGAAACACGTCTACCTTCCAGACCAATAACTTGAGTGTGTTGCAGAAGCCTGTTATGACTTTGCAGCACATTTTCTATCTTCCCCTTCCTCCTCCTCTCTCCCAAGAAAGAGCAGGACCTCCTCAGTGGCACAGTCAGGAGGTCCTTGCCAGGGAGGAAACAGAATTAAAAGAACTAGAGAAATTTTCCTACAAAAATCAGCACAGCATCATACCGTATCATTTATGTGAGACTTTTCCATGGGTGGCTATGGCCTTCTCCCTCTACACAGGATGGCAGTGAGCACACCCTGTAAATATGAGGTACCCAAAGAATAAAGTCATGTTTTATTTAGAAACAGCCTGTCCCCGTTCTGCCAGCCTTTTCTAGTTCTTTCCGTATTGCTTCATGATCCCAAATATTTATCTGCTTCCTCTTTTCATCATTGATAAAATTGTTTTAGTCGCACAAGCAATTTAAGAAGCATTCCATGATCCTGGCACCAAGAATAAGAGAAAAGCCTGTAGCTTTGGCATATAAGAATAGATACATAGTGTCTGAAGGGAATAAAACACAGGTCCACATACAAGCCTAGGAAATAAATTTCCTATCAGGAAGAATTTATTCCCACTTTTAGTTGGACTATATAAAATTATACCAGCTCAGAATGCCCAGCAAGTGATAAAGTGATTATTCCATCTTCTGCTACACCTCCCCATTTAGTCCCTGTGGAACATAATTAATGTACAGTTTACACTTCCCTCACAAAAATTAATAAACACCATAAAGAAAACCTTAACATCACAGTGCCCAGCACCACCTCACTTGGACACCTCCCAGGATTCAATATTTTGCTGCAAATCACCACCATTTATTTAGACCCTTTCCACGCATAAGACAAGGCTTATATCCAAGTTGCTAAGAAGTAATTGTTCAGGGTGGGAGGCATTATATCAAATTCTTTAATAATATTGAGAAATAGTTGTATTTCTGTTGTGCCATCAATACCATTGGCTACAAATTCAGTATTTTTTTTAAAATACATGTCAATTTGGTATGTCAGAGATTATTTTATGCATGTATAAAGGTGTTATTGCTCATCAATTCTGATCCCTAGACATTTGCTTCATTACTTTTTATTAATGAAAAATGGACTTAGGCGCAGTTCCCATGACAGCTTCCCAAGATCTCACATTTGCACTTTCATCATTTTCAAAAATTACAAAATACCACATCCTCATTTCAGTCTCCACCTCAGATTTCTACAGCTACAGCACTCATTTTCAGCTATTTGAAAAGAGTTTACATATTCATGGGCTAATTTCAGGAACATCTCAGAAAAGCTATTAGAGCAATTTACCATGTACTACAGTTTCAAACACTAATGATGCAGCATTAAACTCTTATAGCCAAAACTCTAAGAATGAATTCTAGGAAGTGTTATATATAATATTTCATCTATTTAGCTTTGATGTGATATCCAATTGGTATTAAAAAACTTAGTTACAAAAAAAATTAATAATGATAAAAAGAAATTAGGTGTTAAAGTATAGCCCTGAAAGAGTAAACCTAAATTTAATCCTTCAAGTTCAGCCTTTCATTTTATTACTGTTTCATTTTGATGTCTCAGACCTGGAATTGCATTAAAACTTAGAAGTCAGGTACATGGGCAGTGTGTTTGGATTTCTTTGGGGTTAATTTCTTTTGAGAAGTATGGTTTTGTGGCTGGATTTTTTTCTTTGTAATCTGAGATTGAGGACACTTACGGAGTAAAGTGAGCTTTTCTTTCAGCACAGACAAAAATTGGGTGCTGGTATTATTTATGTTTTAATCTATCCACAATAACCTAGCCTTCCTGAGAAAATATATGTCTTTAAATATATTCACAACTTGTGAAAAGAAAAGAAATAAATAAGGATTTACTCATTTATCACTACCAACTTTGCCAATATGCCCATTAGGACCTTCCTGGATCCTTTATATTTGTTAGCATTTAGCTGATCCACACCCCTATTAATCATTAATAGTTGCCATTCTTTCCTTCTAGCAAAAAACAGTCCTACTGGATATGATTGTTAAGGATCCTTTTTCTCCCATCAAGTTTTCACCCTTATTTGGCAATGTGCTTACACTGTATTTTCTTTCCTGACAAGCACTTACCAAATAGTACTGTGAGGTCCTATTCTTGCAGTTTTTCAGTCTCAAATGCACAAGGAAAACAATTCCTTTAAGTTCTACCTAGACTTTGACAATGAAACTTTGCCCATTCCATTTCTCAAATATCATGAGAAATAAAACTACAATCTGTCACATAAATTAGGCCTTTGCCTATACCTGCCCATTGTCCTGTTTTCGTTTGGCTTGTATAGATGCAATTGATTGGAAATTACTACTCCCTTGTTGTAAGGACTAATCAATAGTCTGCTGAAGTCTCAGCTGCTGAGCCTTTAATGCTCATCACTGAAAGATCTAGCTCATTATCTCTTAGCTATATTGGATGCTTAGCTATGTAGCCTTTGCAGGCCTAACAAGAGTAAAAAACAGTTAAGACTTATTTCTGTCATAAAGTCGAAGATCTGACTGAATGCACACAACTAACAGTCATGCTGAGGAAGAAATACACCACCATTTCCCAGCTGCTTTTCTGAGTAGACCCACACTGTAAAATACATCTATCCATCCATCAACCTTCATATTTCAGAGTTTAGTGAAACAGCTGAGCTTGGTTTTGCTTGTGTTTTTGTTAAGAAAGCAAAGAGCAAACATTTAACTTTTAATATTTGTAAATGTAAACCAAAAAAATCACAAAACCCTAAAAACTAGAACACTTATTCCAGTTTTCCCAAACACAACACCACATAATTTTCCATAAAACTTAGCCTAAATATCAAGCAGCTTGAAATAAATCAGCTACAACTATTTTTCTGGCCATTTTAACAACTATGCTTGCAGGTACAGATTGAAAAGAGATCAGTTTAAACACAGCAGTACTCGATTTGTCAGGATCATAAAAATAATTTCATGACCCATTGCTAACAGTGAGGAGAAGGCAATAGTTTCCCTTCAGGAGGCTGATGGGCATGGAGCATTCCCTCTCATTGCTGCCTTTTCCAAACCTCCCTTCCTCAGAGGGAAAGTCAGGGAGGGAAGTCTGTAGGAGACTGTTTTCTGTGTGAACTGGTTGAAAGCTCCAACAGTTTAGCACAGTAAATATTTTTTCTTCCACTTTCCTTAGTGGCAGAAATCAATACAGTTGACTAATAGCAAGTCCCTCCTTCTTCCAAATGTTCTAACATAGGAATTTCAGGGAATTAAAATAACCTTCAAAATGCCTCTTCTTTGTTTCTTGTGTTTGATTTATCTTTACAAGAAATTAACACGGTTCATGTCACTGTTCTTGTTTTTGTAAGGGATTGGCAACCTCTCTCTTTCTGCCTGCAGGCCTTGGAATAAATGCAATCTGCAGTCTCTGTAAAACCATTAGTAAATGTTTGTGTATTAGAAGAGCAACTCCCAAAAGAAATGCAGACATGCACATACCAAAATAAGAGGCTTGAAAGGCCACAAGCTCCTGTAAAGCTATCTAAAGTAACTTAAGGTAGGCAAGTCTCAAAACATCATACAAGTTTAGACTTTTTAATCCTCCTCTCATAAAAGTGCCAGACTAAATACAAAGTTCTGTTTTTCTTAGAAAGGGGTGTTTTCTTCAAAACAGGCAGAGAGCCCAGCTTTAGTTGCTTGCTTTCTGAGATTCCTGTCAGCGCATAAAATGTAGGTAGTATACATCATCCTTTCTGCTAAAATGAAAAGAAAAACTTCCCTGATTGGTGGCTGAAGTTAATGGGGATTGATAAATTACTTTCCATCCCAGTGGACATGAATTCTCCAAAGTTTTAGATTTTGATTGAACGAGAAATTACTTCTGCAACTCAGTCAGCAGGATCAAAAGTAACTGTGGGGTTTTAATCTTATCAGAATGTGACAAAAATCAGAAAATTCATAGCTTTTTGACTGCAATATGTGAATGCACAAGTCACAAGCACCCGGTTTAGAGACCCCTAATTTATGAGTGCCACTTTAGCATTCACAGCACTCATTTAAAATTTCAGAATCCTTGGGATGCTGGGAGGCAGCTCCACAAGTACTACCAGCAGCATTGTCTGGAGGGCCTGGAGGAAGGGATGATGCAGACAAGCCGTGTTTTCACACTTGCCTGGGTGCACCTTGCTCTCAAAGGCACCCAGAGCCCTCAGACAGTTAGTTAAAATGCCATGCCAAGCACAAAACCACTGGCTAGAGCTGGGACTTTTCTCCTTTTTATGTCTCTCTATTTGGAAACTTCAGCTTACAAATAATCTTTTAGAGGAATTCATTTCTCATGCGTTTGCTCTACCTCAGGAGGTCAGGTGGAGGACCAATGGGGCTGTGTTTGCTGCTGCAGGTCTGCATTCTCACACAAGCCCAGGATTAGCAAGCTGATACAAATGAAGTGTTATTAGAAAGGACATTTTCCAAGTGGCGCCTGAGATAGCTATGAGAGAAACTGCCCTCTCCACTGGAGGCATTTGTCCTTCAAACAGTTAGAGTGAGTGGTGTGGAGGCTGTGTGTCCTGTCACAACCAATCTCCCCCAGATATAAATAGCAGCCTCAGCAAGACATGTCCTCAGTCAGCCAAGAGATTGCAGCCATTCGTCCCTGCTGGGGCCAGCGCTGGGTTGCTCTAGGCTTTTCTCACCTCCAGGCTACATGCGGCAGCACTGGTGGGTGATATGATATGCAGCAAATCCTGACAAATATAGTGAACTGCCTGCCTTAGACAAGTACTCTGCCCTTGCCTCTGCCCCATCCTCCCTTCTGCCACAGTCTCTGCTGCGAGGTCTTGGTGCTCCCCACACATCCCACTTTGCTCCATGGACCAAAGTCTTTGCCCTGCAGAAGACTTGACCAGCACAGACCAGCAGCATGGCCTGGCTGGGTTTCTCCTGGAGCGAGGCTCATGCTGGGAATGATCTAATTTAGGAACGCGGCACAGAGTTCAGATGCGTATCCAGAGTTTAAGGAGCAGATGAATATTTTATTCTGTGAAATTTGGCGAGGTCTTACGGTCCTTATTCAGGCAAAACTACAGCTGGCTTTAATGGGAGTTCTGAGAGAGAAGAGAAAAAACCAACAGAACACCTTAACCCCTGCAAAATTTAGCTGAAATTCTCATGAGATTTGTTCAGGCTCCAAGAAAAATTTCAACACACATTTACTCTTCTGCTTCCAGTCACAACCTGAATCCTCAAATGTCGAAATAAGTGCCAATGAAAAAGATATGAGAAAATCTTAAGAGATAAAGAAAACAGAACAAGAAGTCAATCACTGGACAAGAAGGACAAAACCTCATTTTATTCCTGGATTTGTAAGGAACAATGAAAGCATGGTCTGTCATCCTTCACCAAGGGATGCATATTTTAAATGCCTATGATATTGCATATGTGCAATGCCACATATGCAAAAAATTCTTTCTTTTGACTGTGTAAAGACCCTGTCTGGTCTGAAATGCATTAAACCAGCAACAGCTGCCAGTGATGTACATCTACCTATGCATGACACAGAGAGAGTGATGCTGTAGTGCACATGTACTCTGTTATTTGTGGAGGCTCTGTGTGAGGAAGCCAGTCATTTTCTCTCTGACAATAACAAGCTCGATAGCCATCTAATCGTGTATGGTAGGAGTGTAACTGCCTACTTTCCACTATAGCCACAAGACACCATTTTATTTCTGGCTCATCTAGCTGTTCAGTCTGTTGTGTCCCTGAGGATAATTAGTCCTCAACTCAGGGAAACTATTTATCTTACACCAGGGATATTCTATCAAATACCTCTTCACACAAAAACTCATTTAAAAGGATAAAAAATACTCCCTGAGGATTTGAATACATTTTCAGTCTTCTAGTCAGTTCCAGCAGGTGACATATCTGAAATCACAGAGCCTCCCTTTGGTAACTCTGTGGGAGACAATTAGCATCATTTTGAACTGGGGAAGCTGCATCATGACAGCCTCTGAGGAGCAAGTTCTGTTTGCTGTAAACAAATCTGATTTACTCAGTTTTGCATCCCTACAAATATTATACAACAGCCATAGAGAAAGTTGTTTCACAGGGCAAGCCTCCATTGTCACTGAAAACAGGCATTGTTTTTTTCTCCCCAGGAGAGGAAAAATAAACATGACAGTTTGCAGCTACCACAGGTAGTGCCTGCAAACTAAACTCTCTTAACAGAAATTCCCCCCAAGGCTCCTTTAAATATTCCATGACTAACTAGGCACAAATGCATCTCCCAAAGGATCAAAGTACATTCTTCTTTCACTCGACAAAAGGCACTGAGTGCTCACTATCTGTTTGCTCTTAGTCCTTTTGCATCACTGAAAGAAATATTCTTTGCACTTTTCTTCTGATGCAGTAACTGTCCATGCCACCAGGGCTTTGCCTTGGCCAGATATGCCCATAGTGGTCTTTTGGGGAGGACAAGCATCTTGTTCACACCCCATTAAAAAAAGGAGTTCAGCTTTCACAACAGTTTGGCAAGTCTCTGACTCTGTAACTAGAGGTTTGCTGGCCCAGGAAAAAGAAAAAAACCCAAATTAATTGGACTAGGAATTTAAAGCAGATGAACCCATTTATAGGTAAGTCCTAGGTATGTACTATAGCTTAACTAGTAATGCAGGCATGCCCTGATCCCCATATTTGGAGAAATAAAGTACCTTTAATGCATTTTAAAATTAAAGGAGTTAAAGGACTAGAGCACCTACATCTGCCTGGGTCTTCTCCTGTGTGCAGACACAGCCCTCATGCACTGAAGTCTGCGGAATGAGAAATTCAAGCAAAGCCCTTCATGAATCTTGGTGGAAGACTATCTCCTCTGCAGTGCGCACAAAGGGCACTTGATCCTTATGAGCAACACAAGGTAAATCTGAAAGCCTTGCATTGTGTCACAGTTCTGCCCTTACTGAGGAAAAATTCTCCAGTTAAGGACTGAATAATGGTGTGAAGCTAAGACATGTTCTTACCAATCCATCAGGCTAACTGGCTTAGATATGCTGCCGGGATAATAAATGCTATTGAGTCCTCATTAACATGTCCTTTATTAAAACCTGTATGGAGAGGGCAAAAATAAAAATTACAATGCATAAAACTGACACCTGACATGGACATTATGGTGCAGGCAGTGTAACATGCTGGCTCCATGGGAGTTTGCCCTTGGCTTTCCTGGGGGAGCTATATTTCCAAATTTAAGCAGCAAGTCAAGTGCAGGACCTCATCTCCCAGCCTGCTAAGATGTTAAGCAGAGGGCTGTGACCAGCTAGAAAATAAAGTGATTTTAGTATTCATGTTGACCTAACATGGGTAGATCTGGATGTATATTGCCTAGGTTGAGAGCCCTCTAGGTTGTCTATACTAAATACCCATTAATCTCCATTAATACCAAAATATTAATTTTTTTTTTTTTTTTGCAAAGCTGGTCAATAAAGTTCTTGCCCTCTCTCCAGTCTCAGGCACTAATACCTGCTTCTCCCTGTCTCCTGTCTGGGAAGTCATGGCTTAAGAAAGTCATTGAACAAACACAGAAAACAACAAAACACAGCATGGAAATTTGGAAAGGGCTGTTTGTATTGTTCTACCCTTACAAAACATTTATTCACCTTAGGCAGGGTGAAAGCTTGTCTCCCTCTATGCATGTACAGCAAGGAGTACATACTTCTTTTGAAATGGACCTTCACCCTATCTGAAGTCCTGGTTTGGTTTTGCTTCCTTCTTCAACAAGTAAAAACTCCCACAGGTATCAGCTCTCATTAAGGGTTGGATAAGGAGATGGGGCCAGGATGCACTCTTAGCAACATGTTACTACTGATCTGCTTTCCAGAAAGCCCCACAAACAGCAGAACTGGTGTGGCTGAGAGGAAGGAAAAACTGCAGATGGAGCTGTGGGAAGGGGAAGACAAGACTGGAGAGACTGTGACACAAAACCCAGCTCCTGGGTCCCAGAGCACCTGGGAACAGTGTCACTGTCCCTCAATTTCACCATATTTCCTTGCTGTAAAAGGCCTTTCCCAACTGAAACCACACTGACAGGGCTTCATTAACTGAGGTCTGTGAAGCACTTTAATGAAGACAAATGCTGTGTTAAGTTGCCAAGTATTATACTTCCATGCATGTTAAGCTATTAACAACAAAGACAGGGAGCTAGGAAGATCTGGCAGAAGCATGCTGAACTTATCATGCTGTGGTAGACCAAAGTGAAGTAGACACACTCTACAAGGCATGTCTCCATAGCAGCAAGATCAAGATTGCATTAATTGTCATATTTATCTAGACTTCACCATGACCTTAATCATTGTGAGGGAGAAACAGACCCATAAGAAAAAAAAGTCTTGAACAACTATATTATATTAAACCCCTTAACAATATTGAATCCTCTGATGCTAAAGTTTTTCTACAGTTTATTTAATTATCTTTAACCTCCTGGGGATCTAAGATCAGGAAAAAAAGTGGATAAAGTATCTGTGCTTTCTGTCCTTCTGCAGCATGCACGTGACTATAAGGACAAATATTGTCAGATGCACTTGACAGCTGTAAAAGCAATGGATTTTAGCTGATTTTATTCTTCAGTAATTCCTAGATAAGGAAAGATTCAGCTGTCCTTGGGTCACAGGCAAGGAAGAAATGATGCTCCCAGAAATTCCCCCAAGATGAATTTTGCTAAATACCACTTTCATAACTGATGTCAACAGACATGACAAAGCAAATGAAGAGGACTTCTTAAAACAAAACATGCGGGCACAGGGCAGATGAGTAATGGGGCTAGATGAGGTATGCGATCGGGTTTTGCACAAATGAGGTTTGTGTTTGGAAGCTGTCAGAGGTATGAGACACGGTCTTAGGCAGGGATTTGGGAAGGAGTGGAAACTAGCGAATGATATTTATTTTGTTTTAAAATACTCCAGAAAGCTCATTTGAAGCCCTGCATCATCTAAGGCCACGCCCTTCTGGAAGACAGGTCATATGTAGTTACATAAAATAATGATGTATTTTACTATATAGCTGGAGATTTGCTTTTAAGCATGTACATTATAGTCATCCCACTGCTAAAGTCTTTACATTGACCTATCTTGACCCATGTACACACACCTTTTGAAATGTATATCACACTCTTCAGATCACAGCAACCATAAAATTTGTTGCCACAATTCCTCCAGGCTCACAGATCATTACTGGCAATGAAGACTTTTCAAAGATAAACAAGGTGAAAGCTCTGCTGATTGAACACAGGGATAAGAGCTTGTAACATGTTTCATAATAGTTTTAAAAAACAAACAAATGCATGACTGTATCCATGAGCATGTGCCTAAAGCAAAGTATATTCAAGGAAAAGCTGGTGAATAAGAAAATTATGCTTTTTGCATTTTTTCTAACTTAATTAAAGTTTAAATTTCCCCTTCAGTTTTCATGACGAGAATATATTTTTAATTATTGCATGTGACCTCTTTCATATTTTAGCCTGAGCATGAAATATTTGGATCAATGAAAAGTAATTTAAAGCAACTTGAATGAATACATGCCTATCTGACAGAGGAAGAATGTGAAACTTGCACTCAAATTTCAGTAGCTCTTGAGCCTACTATCTCATGTGGAAGTTCCAGAGCATTTAGGATACCTCAGGGAAGGACCTGTACTTCCATGAGAAGCAGAGCTCTGCCCTCTAACTGGTAATACACAGAGTCACACCCATGCATTTTCCTGAAGGTTTTTTCGCTTCTGTAGTCCTCTTTCCCTTTACTTATCACAGAATCATAGAATGGTTAGAAAGAATTGGGTTAGAAAGGACCTTAAGATCATCTAGTTCCAACCTCCCTGCCATGGACAGGGACACCACACACTCAACCATGTCACACAAGACTCTGCTTTTCATAGCTCTGGGGAGCTAAGGTCCAATACATGTGGGAATTCAAGGATCTGTGCTCCACAGGACCTTCTCCACTGCAGGACTTTCTACCAGCTTTTGTGGGAGTTTTTCTTTCTCCTTATCCTAATCTGTACTCATTGCAATAAAAAAAGTCATACATAAATAAACTAAAAAATAAGCCTATTCATCCACCTAAGAAAGAGTGGTGTGGACTCTTGAGAGCTGCTGCTTGGATAAATAAGGTTACATTTAGCAAAAGAAAGAGAAAAGACATTTGACAATGTCCAGATATCTTGGTTCAAGAAAACACATAAAGGTAGAGTAGTTTATCAAGAGTGCACCTCACTCCCCAGCCACAGAACAGCCTTTTGCCTCCTTTCATTCTGCGCTGAAGTGTACTCACCTGGTTAGGATTACATGACCTCAGGTAATGAAAGTTTAATATAAAAGTCAAAAACATGTCTCAGATTAGTATTGTGAAAATATATTCTTTTACTGGAGAACAGCACATTTTTAATGCAAATAATAGTAAATCAGAGTTGGGCGAACATTTCACACCAAGAGTGGAAAATGCAAAACTGCCGAATGACAACTGCAAAATCAGCATATAAGTATCCAGGGTAAGATGCAGTCAAAAATATTCTGATTATGAGTCCTTAGAAAATTTATTTAGCATCATTATCAAGAATAACCTAGTTTTCATGGCATGATGGAGCAGAGGGTGGGGAAAGACATGATCACACCAAGCTGGGCAACCTTCATCTGTTAGTCATCACAGAATTGTTCAGAATTGGTTCATTAGACAAATTAAGTCTTTGTAATCAATACTGTGCAGTGAATTTGTGCCTTTCTTGCAGATTTAAAATTTTGTTAGGATTTCATTTAAAAAAGGACAAAGTGCTTCCCTCTGCCATGCTCAACTCATTAGTCTTATCTAGGAATATAATTGTGACTTTGTAATCTCTAAATGAGACCCATATGGAAGTATAGAGGTTACTCAGAAACACAAAGGAAAAAGAAAAAAACACTGTTTCCCAGATCTTGGTAGAAGAATCTCATTAAATAGAGGGAGAAGAATAAGTAATCCTAGGACAGAAGCTATTTAATTAGATACAAACATGTCTGCAATTTTCTGTTATGAAGTATTGTTGAAGGCAGAAGACATACTGCTTTTTTAAGTCACATATATATACATATGCTCATTTATATATGCATTTGTATCAGCCAGTACTGTTGTCCAGTTCTGGACTCCCCAGTAGAAAAGAAACATGGAGCTCCTGCAGCAAGTCCATCAAAGGGCTATTAGAATGATCAAGGGTCTGGAGCATCAATCTTATGAGAAGATGATGAGGGAGATGAGGCTGATCAGCCTAGAGAAGGCTCATGGGGAAACTGGTCAATGTATATAGGTATCTGAAGGGATGGTGTCAAGGGGATGGAGCCGGACGCTTCTTGGTGGTGCCAGGCGACAGGACAAGAGGCAACAGGCATAAAATAAACTACAGGAAATTTCTTTACTGGGAGGGAGACTGAGCTTTGGAACAGGCTGTCCAGAGAGACTGGAGTCTCCTTTTCTGGAAATATCCAACAGCCATCTGGACACAGTCCTGAGTAGCGTGCTTTAGGTGACCCTGCTCAAGCAGGGAGGCTTGACTAGGTGTCTTCTAATGCCTCTGATTCCAGACTCAACCATTCTGTGACCCTGTGATTATTAAGGTAGTCTTTAATAAGCCCCATGACCATCCCTCACTGTCACCCCTCATACTTCCTCCTGGTCCTTCCTCTTCTGTGGCCCCTGACTCAGTGTTGCTTGCACAGCTGGTTTTGTGAGGCCATGTGCCAATCCAATCAAAATAATTCTCATTGTATGCTAGGTTAACAGCAGTACAAAAACAAACTGATTTTTAGCCTGAGTAGTCCCTGGGTTGCACTGGCTTGCACCTGCACAAAGGCGGGGGAGAGAGATGTTTAATATAATACTCCCATTAAAATAAATGCCTGTGACACTATGTTGTTATGCACACAAGAATGGGTCTTCTAAGACTCCAATAACACACAGTTGCGCACAAAGGCAGGAGCAACTTTTGTAACATGGCAGCTAGACATATGAGGCTCACTGATACCTTTGCACCATTATCACTGAAAAGGTTAAAAGTAACATCCCTAGGATGCTATGAGAAATTCTCAGACCACTCATAGTACAAAAATGCCTTGGCTATCTATAACGAGATCATGGACTCATACGGGTTTGTCATATAAAACCCATCTCCCAGAGAAACTGAACCCAGTCAAAAAGTTTCCTAAAATATCCTCAATCTCCAAATAGCCTACCTGCAGAGAAAGGCTTCTACTGCACTTTTCACCAAGGACAGAAGGGATCCTCTTGACTGATTTCCTCTTCACGCTGAAGGAAAGGTCAGTGTCTGGTAATACAACTCTTCTGTTTGCCACACCTACAAAAAAGATGCAGTCCTGCTGAGTTCATTTTTTTTTAACAATTAACACGTGGTCCGCACACATGCAAATGCGGTAATTGAGCTGTTCTGGGGCAGAGGTATAAATAGGATGAAATATTTAGACTGATACGTCAATATTCCCAATAAGACTTAAACTGAGAATCCAATTTGATGGGTTTAGAAAAGCCAGGATTATTTATTTTTAGTGAATAAATCTTAGTATTGGGATTCGGGTGATTCATCCTGATCCTAGTTCTGTCACTGATTCAGAATGGGAGTTTGGGCAAGCCACTTTATTCTTTTTATTTTGCATCAGAAATGACAAACACTATTCCTTTCTACAGAACACTTAATGATGTCCCCAGAAAACACACCAATATTTTTACCTCTCTCATGTGCATGATATAGACTGTGATACAAACGACAGCCAAAGGGGTTTGACAGTTGCCTCTATGGATCAGAGGTAGCTTGGTGGGAAGAGGACAAATGATTTCAGAAGAAGTCTATTAAAGTGTCCTCACAAGGGTATTAGTCACACTGATGACTCAGGGAAGGTAACTCTTATTAAAGCTATTGGCAACCAAACAAAATGTGAGTAAGGCCAGTTTCTGAGCACTTTAGCACATAGCACTGCTAATGACTTTTATATTAAAAGCTACTACTTAGCTGGAAGCAAGGCATTGGAAGTGTCATCAGAAAGTTTTCTAGCATTGTGTTGGCAACACAATGGCTATGTTATGTTACATACAAATCATTTGATGTAGTTTTAACTACCTTTTTTAACGGCTGAGACACCTCTCCAGATATCAAGATAATAAAAGTTACATGGTGTAATTTCACAATTGACAGGTCTGTAGAATACAACTGTCAATGAGGTGGTTTTAGTTCAAAGTAATACAGTTGCTGTCTTGGACAGATTAGTCTCAGTCTCTGCAGAAAATCATGAAACTTGTAACTATATACTCCAGGCAGTCTTATCTAAAACCAGATACCTACTCTTCATCTATTCCCCTTCTCTTTTGGCCTGTTACCCTTGCAGCAAGTCTATGCTCTTCCTGGCAATAACTAAAACATCTAAACAAAAAAAGAACTCATGAAGAGCAGCACACCTGACATTGATGGATCTCATTAATGCTCCTTTCATGAAGGACAGCTTTATCTGCTTAACTGAATAAAATTTACCAGGTGCCTTGCATAAAGCAATTTCATCATTTGAGGTCAGATCTTCCTCACCTCTTTTCTGCCCTCTTTAGAGCAGGAGTGGGAGGAGGCCAAGGAGAGAGGACTTGAAGAAGTAACAAGAAGGAAAAGGCAAAATAGCACCAGTACACAAATTTTCCAGGATTTCTTTTAATCCTTGACATAAGGTTGTAGGCTCTGTGCTTGTATAGGATTGTGTCAGTTTGATGGTGTCCTGGCAATGGACAGTAGTAACAGGTCCACACTTAATTCTTTCAGACTTGTCAGAAACGCCAACTATTCTACTAGGAAGCTCTGCTGATAACTGGGAGCTGTGGCAGCATGGAGAGTACTACCACAGTGACTCACTGATGGCCCAAAGAGATCTGGATTGTACAGTAGCAAGGAGTAGTGACTATTGTGTACACTCCACAATGCAAGACCAGTATGGAGCAGTTCGGGAAACAGTGGTCAGACAGAGGTAAAAACCACTGGCTGCCAGAACCAGTTTATCTAATTTAAAGGAGTTATGGATATATCATTTTAATGCCTTACTTTTGTAAGCTGCAAAGTGTGCCAAGACATCAATGGGCTGGGCAAATTTAACCAGTGCAAGAAAGAAGGAGGTGTAATTTCAAGATATTGCTGACACCATCATTAAGATAATATAAATGCTGTTTCAATTCATTTTGAAGCCATTGTGCATGAAGTGAAAAATTGACAAGCATACTGAAGTTATTGTGAAGAGTGAAATGTATTGGTGGCCATCAGTGAACTCCAGCCCTTATGGAATATTGGACATGTGTCAGGATGTATGAGAACCATGATTGTAGTGTATTCCAGACAGGTTGGCCCAGAAAAAATGCCTGAGCACACTGGAGGATTATCCCTGAAAGGTGGCAGTACAGAGATGCTCTCAGCTAATAGATGAGTCCCCATAAAGAGGTGGAACAAGCTTGGATGAAAGCTGTAATCTCATGGCTGAATGCATGACCAAAGAGACACTAGTTCCAAGTATAGGTAGCTGTCAGAAAAGGAAGTCACTGGTCATTGCTTGTAAGCATGGCTTGTAGGACAGAAGCAAGAAATTTTATCCTGTGGCACTGCCCATGGGCAAGAGAGGTAAGCTACAGGAGACATCAGGGCCTCAAGTGTTTTCCAAGTACTTTCAGTAATACAGTGACTGTGGTCAGACAGATCTCTGCTATACCTGCGTACTGCACTGTGGTGTTCCCAAGAGGTCAAGCTGAAGCCCAAAGGTCTCTCAGTCAAGGTGTGGGGCAGCTGTGTACTGAGGCAGGGGATCCTCATCCACACAAAGGTGCAATTCCATAGGGGTAAGTGCAAAATCCTGCCCTTATGTAGGAGTAGGTGGTGGGGTTAGCAGGGCAGCAGCTTTGCAGGAAGGAGAAGGCTCAGTGGTAAAACAGCTCTTGGGTATGGCTCAGGACACAACATGATGCTACTTGGGTGAAAGTAGAATGTCATTGTGGGATGAGCAGAGAGTCTGTGTTAGTAGGAAGTGAGAAATGATCCATCCCCTCTCCACAGTAGCACCCCAGGCATGATGTCATCTCCAAAGAAACAGTGGGTCCACTTTCCTGTCTCAATAAAGGGAGTGCCAATCCAAGGGAGTTGAAAGTTTGAGAGGGTGAACAGTCAGAGGTCTAGAGATCATAGTGAGAAGAGAGAGGAGGAAGGTGGTTGTTTAGTGTAGGGAAGAGAGGACCAAGGAAAGACATGATCTAAAAGCCTGCTTCAAAGAAAAGGCAAATAAATGTTCTTCAGCTCTATTGAGAGTAGGATAAGAAATACTGAGCTTAGGACTCAGCAAGAGCAACTTAATTTAGATATTAGGAAAACTTTCTAATGATAAAGACAGTTAAGCACTGGAATTAGTTATCTAGCAAGGCTGCAGGCTCCGTGTCATGGGAGGAAATTTAAGGCCAGCTTGGACAAACAAACAACACAGGAATCTGTCTCGGAAAGGGGGGTGAGCCAGATTATATTAACAGGCCCCTTCCAGACCTACTTTTCTCTGATTCTCTGTCCTAGCCATAAAATCCAGCTGTGACTCTCTGGAGTAGCCTGTGTTAAGTACAGCATGGTTTAAATGTTTCTTGAATGAGTTTTCTGAAAACAAAACAATTACAACAATAAAGAAATCCTAGTCCTGAAAGCTCTTATGACTTTGTCTTCAGTCTGACAGTAATTGACCCATTTTTTAAAACTGGCTCCTGGAGTCAAGCAGATTCATGGAAGCTTAGCTTAAATAAGCAAAAAGCTGTCTAAATTTATGGTGCAGGAAAAAATGAAATAAAACAGATAAAAAGCATGACAGAGAAGTACTTCCAGCAGTTATAAATCCACAAGGGTGGTAAAATAGCTTAAAAAATCAAAAAAAAAAAGGTTGATTTAAAAAAAATTATATCTTATGATTGGGACTGACTTATTTTTTAGTGTTCATTAATGTTTTAGTCTAGGCCTGAAATCAGCAAAAAAGGAAATTGTGTCACTGAAGAAAAGGCTCAGAAACCAAAAGTCCTTCCCACTAATGGCATAGAGATACCCCCTTTCCCTCCCAATAAAAACAGCAGGTGACAAAAAACCAACAAACCAACCAACCAATGAAACAAAACCAAAAGCCAATAATATTTTGTTCTCACAAGAAATGCAGTTAAGAAAGTGGAACGTCTTGCCACAGGATGCTGCTGTGTGTGTGCCTGACGATGCTGTGAGTGTGCCTACATGTGCGAGCCTTCAGTGTGGGAACCCTAAAAGCCACAAATTGTTGGTGACTGGGGGAATATTTGGGAGCAATTAACACCATGCATTTCCTCTTCTTTCATGGCACATTCCCCCTCCCCACCAGAGAGCTCTTATGGGTCACTGTTGAAAACAGGCTACCAGGCCAGACCTTTAATCTCACCACAGAAAGATGGTTTCATGTTCTTTTACTCTTTCATTGTGTTCCTGAAGAGCTGAGGCATACTGGCAGGGCTGCATGAGGAAATTTTACGTCAGTTCTCTGAATTGCAGACTTCTTTTTCCAAGGCTGTCAATCACACCCTGCCAATAAATAAAAACTTTTAAAATAAATAATACCCACAAATAAAACTGATAGTGAAGAATTAGTTGAGTGCAAGAATATAATATTTAGCATAAGAATCAGTGCAGTGTGAGTTTTCATCTGACCCGTCATCACTCTGCAATCTTTGTCATTATCATAAATCAAAAAGGATTGTTTGGTTTAAATCTCTTGCTGCTTAAAGATGAATCACCTTTGATTTCCAGAGTTTTGCTTACGGCAAAAAGAGGAAAAAAAAAACCTTTCAAAACTGTACAACAGTAAAAATTTCTGGTCTCAATTTGCATAAAACCCCTCAAAACTCAGCTGTAAAACTTAATCTAGCAAGCAACATAAAACGGAACAGAACTGTGATTTAGGAGGGAAAAATATTTCTCCATCTGCAGAGCTATTAATCTACAGCTTGGTCCAGAGAGTTCATATACAGCAGTCTGTGAAGAGGGACCCCAAGCTCTAATGGCTTGAAGAAGATAGGCCCTCAAATATTTAATCTAACTACAGGTGCATATCTAAGCTTCTGTGTAACATCTGTCCCTGCGGATAAGAAACCACTAAGCATCCTGCACTGGATTCTGCAGACACCAGCTAAGTAGCTTAAAGCATATCCTGTATACTGATGACTACTGTGCAAATCACCCAAGCCACCCCAATAGGTTTGCCCGGTGAGCTATTCCATTTGAGAAGCAGAGTCCTCCTGTCCATCCCACCACCCTGACATCACTCCCCATGC